GAGGGCAAGCAGGCAGGGAGCTGGGGGAGCTGGGGGCCTGCACCCCCTCGGAGCCGCAGGAGCATGTAGATTGTGCTCATGGGCCTGATGTCGTAGTGCTCCAGCCTGTGCTGGTCCTGCAGCTCCCTGGAGCCATAGGTCAGGCGCTGCTCGTTGGCAGAGGGCCCCTGCCGGGCCTGGATCTGCTCCTTCAGCTGTCGGACAGTGTCAGTGGGCAGCACCGTGTAGGTCGTGGTCCGGTTCTTATCATCCTTGACCAAGACCTGCATCCTCTGGGGCTCAGTCTGCAGCAGCACCAGCGTGGTGTTGTAGAAGATGCCGTGCGTGGCCAGGGTATCGCTGTCCTGTAGGGTGATGTTGTTCCTGCCTGGCTCCTGCTGTGCCAGGCGCTGTGTGTATGGTGAGATGCTCCAGTTCTGGTGGATCATGTCCTTCAGCTGCCCGATGGTGGTGTAGGGGCTGACACGCTGTGTCAGCCTGGTGCCTGACAGCTGCATCACCTCAATGGTCACGGGCCGGGCTGGCTGCAGGGACAGGAGAGCGGGTGGGCAAAGACAGCAGGGATGGGGTGAGGGACATGATGCTCACAGGCTCAGGCAGCCTTACCTGCACATTCCAGGGCTGGACGTTTGCAAGGCAGGGCAGTGAGCGGCAGTAGATGGCAGCTGCCTGTGCCATCAAGTTCCAGTTCTTATCTTGGCCCAGGATCCCTGTGGGGTCAGCAGGGTCCAGGATGACAGGGCTGCAAACACAGAGTGGGCATTGCTGTCAGCCCTGGGCAGTGGCACAGGGCCAGCAGGCACAATCCCACTGGGCACGGTCCTCACCGGGGACTGCGCAGCAAGCCCTTGACGTGGGCACCAATCTCTCTGTGCTGGAGTGAGTAGTACTTCTCCCAGTAGATGCAGATGTCCCGGTGCCGGCCCAGCAGCTCCAGCACTGTGCGGAAGCCCTGAGCCATGTCAAAGTTGCTCAAAGAGCCTATGCCCTCCTCCCAGGCATAGATGGTCAGCAGCTCCAGGGCATACTTAGGGGGCAGATGTGCACTGGGGTTCTGCAGATTCAGCTGGGGAGAAGAACAGATAGAGGTGAGAGCTGGCTGGGATGGGTGTCTATTGGGAACTGGGAAAGCTGGGCAGCCCTCACCTCCTTGTACCAGTACTTGACCAGGCGCAGGAGGTCCTTCAGCTTGGCAGGGTAACGCTTCACAAACATCTTCTGCAGCTCAGTGAAGCAGGGGGAAAACTCCCCAGGGTGGCTGCAGGCATCCAGGAGCCTCACATACACTTCTGGGTTTGGTGGGGCATCCTGGGTCACCTGCCCTGTGGGGTGAGAAGGAGGGTGAGAGCCATCCCAGCACTGACACCACTGCCTGTCCCTGTGCCAGCCTGCAGCCCTTACCCAAAGCATCATAGGCAGGCAGGATGTCCACATCAATGGACTCTCCAGTCTCCCGGGAGGACAGAGTAAGGCTGAGGGAGCGTGGTGTGCTGCCAGGACCTTTGTACCTGGGCTCACCAATGCACACATCAAACTGCAAGCTCTCCCTGCAGTCCTTCAGCCTTATCATGATCAAATCCAGGATTTCCTTTCTGTTGTTCTTCTGGTCCTTGTAGCTGGGTAAGCAGCTGAGGAAGAGCACCACATCAGCATCAGAGTTGTTCTTCAGAGCTGTGCCCTTTCCTGCTGATCCACCCTGCAGAGAGAGACCCTGCTTGCTCAGCACCACTGCCAGCACCAGGATCGGCTGCCACCACTCCTGGAGCTGCCAAGGGAAACTGAGGCCGGGCAGGAGCTGGAGCATGGGACAGTGGGAAGGGTGGCAGCAGGGGTGTCAGCTGGCCCCCAAGCCAGGCAGCACTCACCTTGACGGTCTTTTGGACATGGATATTATCCTCAAAGCACTTCCTCTTCAGGAATTCACAGATTTGCCACACTGTCCCCTTCACCTGCATGGAGAACTCTGGGCTGGGCTGCAGGGTTCTGGCGATCCAGCCATCCAGCTCCCTGGCAGTTACTGTTCTCAGTCCGTTCATGGATGCCGCCGGGTCCACATCCATGCTGACAGGTATCGCTCCCTTTGCTCTCTTCTGACTTGCCGCCTCCTACGTCTCCTCCCGCCCACAACACTCCACCCCGACAGGCTGCGTCTATCTGCAGCAGCTTTTAAACCTTCCCGGGCCACCGCCCCGATGCGTCACCGCTGGGAACTTAAGGTGGCCCCTGGCCGTTTCCCCGGGATTGCTCCCCCCACCGCTGCGGGGGCTGGGAGGGGGCAGGAGTGGCTGCGGGTCACCCTGACATCCAGCTCGGCTGGCGGCGGCAGAGAGGCAGCAGCCTGCAGGCCGGCTCCGGGGTGCTCACAGCCCCGGTGCCTTCGGTGACACAGGGTCTCCCCCGAAAGGCAGAGCCCCAGTGTCCGGGCTGGGGCACAGCCAGTGCTGGGACACGGCTCACGCTGTGCCGTGGTGTGAGCAGGGGCAATGGGTGTGGCAGTGCCACCGTGGGCAATGGAATGAGGCTGTCACCAGTGCCAGCAGATGCCCCGGCATCGCTGTAGGCAATGAGATGCAGACATAGCCAGTTTCACCGAGGCTCCTGGTGCCAGCACCGTCGGTGGGACAGTCATCCCCCCATCTCCCTCCATCAGCAGGGAGGCTGTGCCCTGCCCTGCAGTGGGATGCGGCCGGTGCAGCATCAGCAGAGCCCCCGGTGCCCCTCGATGCCGGGAGCAGGAGGCAGCAGGGAGTACGCGCAGGATGTTGCAGCCCGTGCTGCCTTAAGCTGGGAGATCGGGAGTTTCGGTTTCTGTTCCCGACGTAAGTTCAGTTTCTGGCTCTGCCAAGCTGGAAACGAAAGTGCGAAGGAGCCCGCGACTGCCCCCGTGGCCCAAATAAACTGGGAAGAGCCAAATGACAGAAACACACCTGGGAACTCGGCTCGGGGCCAGGCGGATGGGCGGGGGCTGCAGGCAGAGCCGGGTGTGCTCCTGGAGCAGGGGCTGGAAGAGGAACAGGAGGGGGAATAGGGGCAGGAGCAAAAAGGGGCAGGGAGTCAGGACATGGGCAGGAGACAGGCAGAGGCTGGGGAGAGGGAGAGAGGGAGGGAGGGGAAGGGATAGGGACAAGGATGGGGCAGGGAAAGGGCAGCAGGAGGGGCAGGGATATGAATAAGAGGGAGATAGGGGTCAGGGACAGGGATAGGGGTACAGATGGAACAGAGGAGAGATGGGCAGTGTTACAGGGATATAGTCAGGAGCAGGGACAAGGACAGGAGTAGAGACATTGGATATTAGGAAAAGTTTTTTTACAGAAAGAGTGATAAAGAACTGGGGAGGTGGTGAAGTCACCAGGGAGGTAGAGGAGTCACCATCCCTGGATGTGTTTAAAAAAAGACTGGATGTGCCATGGTTTAGTTGAGGTGCTAGGGCTGGGTTGAACTCGATGATCTTAAAGGTCCCTTCCAATTCTGTGATGTTGTGATTGGCAGCAGCAGCAAACGGTCAGGGATGCAGGCAGGAGCAGGAATGGGTGTCCCCTGATACTGGGTGACAATAAGGCAGGAATACAGGCAGGGGCAGGGATATTAGGAGGAGAGGCAGGGAGGGGACCAGCACTGGGGACAGGGTTACAGGCAGGGGCAGAGCTGTGTGCAGGGACAGGTGTCATGAACCTTTCACACCTGAGGAGCAAGACCAGGACATCAAGATGAGCATGACAAGAGACATTCTTTATTCACCCAGGGGGTGTCCCAGCCAAACTGAGGCACCCCAAATGTGGTTCACATGTGGGTCTCACACCCTTCAAGTGTTGGGGTACAACAAGGCTCCACAGATTGCCTGCTGTTCCCATGGCTTTGTAAAGCCAGTGCAATTGTGTGGCTTTGGCATCCTTCTTTCCTCATTCTGGAGTCAGTCTCACCATGTCAAGGGGTACTTATCTGTGAGGCCAGATGGTGGGAGGGCCCTGGCTGTGGGCCTTATCTGCCTGCCTGCCCAACCACAGCTATGCAGTGTACAGCAGTACAGGGGGTATATAGATCTTAGTAAGGGCCAAACCATTTCATACTAGAAAGACTAATTGGTACTTTACTTAGGGAATGAGATTTTCCTAATGAGATGCAGGCAGGGGCAGGGACAGAAGAAGGGTTACAGGCAGGGACAGTGATAGAGCCAGGGATGAAGATAGAGCCAGGGATGAAGATAGAGCCAGGACAGAGAGAGGGCAGGCATGTGCAGAAAATCACATAAGGAGAAGCCAGTGTCCATAAAGGGGCAGAGCAGTCCTGCAACTTTGTTTGAATAAAGAGAGAGACTCCACTGGGCGAAATCCCCACGGAATTTCTCTCCCGACGTTCAAGATGCAGCCTCCTTTTATCCTAACTCCCGGCTGCATGTTGCCCTCTTCCTTTCCCCATTGGCTGAGGTACTAGGAAGGCACAGCCTTCCCGAACCGCCTACCACGTTTCCCGCCCTTAAACCTGTCATTTGCCTCTGAAATTCAGAAGTTCAGGCTGAGTTCTGCAATAGACTTTGTGCTGACCCTTTTATCTATTGCCCTAAAGTTCAGGAATTCGAGCTATAGTCAAACTGTCTGGATTCTGTACCAAACCTGTGTGGCTTGAGCTTACTAGAGATATTAAGACCCCTTTGAAAGACATGAACACCCATTTCTCCTAAAGACCCTCACCCATCGAATTGTTTGTAAAGACATCAGTAGCCGTCTTTCCTATCAGGGACCAGGGACGAAGATAGCGTCAGGACGGGGAGAGGGGCAGCGATACGGGCAGGGATACTGAGGAAGCAGGGATGAACATAGCGCCTGGACAGGGAGAAAGGCAGGGAGAGGGTCAGAGAAAGGGGCAGGGAGGCGAGCAAGGACAAGGAGAGGGACAGGGACAGGGACACGGACACGGGACTCGGGCAGCTCCGGCGGCGCATGCGCAGATGGTGGGGGCGCTCTCAGGGGGCGTGTCGGGGGCGTGTCGGGGGCGGGTCCCTCCCGGCGGGGGCGGGGCGCGGGGTCCGCGCGCGCCGGCCATGCCGCGCTCACGCCGCGCCGCGCGCCGTGAGTGAGGGGGGACACCGGGAGAGGGGAGCGGGGATCGGGGCCGCGTGTGTCAGGGCCGGGCTGGCAGCGCCAGGCTCACACGAGTCTGCTCCCAACCCCCGCAGGCGGCACCGGCAGTGCCCGGGCGAGCTCGCCCGGCAGCGAGGAGGAGGCCGGCAGCGAGGTGCTGAGCCACTGCAGCAGTGCCAGCGAGAGCGCCGGCCCCGCTGAGGAGGGAGCAGGTGAGGCACGCGGAGCCCATGGTGACCCCCACGTGGGTCGCGGTGTGCCCGCCCTCGGCCTTCCCGGCTTCACGTGGTGCCGCCCGGGCAGGGAGCGAGGCGGCGAGTGAGCACGGCCAGGAGGAGGAGGAGGCGGAGGACAGGCTGAAGGAGCACATGGACACCCTCCTGGACAAGAGGTGAGGAGCGGCTGTGCCCCCGCGGGCGGGCACTCCGGGCCCTCTGCCCAGCGCTGCCAGCCGCGGGCAGGGACGTGCCCCGTGCCGGGACAGCCCAGCCCGTGACGTTCCGCGGTGTCTCGCAGCGCCAAGGCGCGGCAGGCGGCACTGCAGGGCCTGCGCCTGGCCCTGTCCTCCAGAACCCTGTCCGAGTTCCTGCTGGAGCGCCGCCTCACGCTCACCGACTCCCTGGAGAAGTGCCTCAAGAAAGGTCGGGGTGCGTGCGGGCGGGCGGGGGGCGGCGGGGCCGGTGGGCCGTGTCTGAGGCACGTCTCTGGTGCTGCCCACAGGTAAAGGGGAAGAACAGGCACTGGCGGGCAGCGTCCTCACCCTCCTCTGCCTCCAGATGGGCTCCGGCCCGGAGGGAGAAGAGGTGTTCCGCAGCCTGAAGCCGCTGCTCCTCAGCGTCCTGACAGACAGCACAGCCAGCCCCAGCGCCCGGCAGAGCGTAAGCCTGGCCCCTTTCTTCCTGGGGACACCTCCGTGCTGGGGAGAGCCCAGGCAATGCCTTTGGGAGCCCCTGCAGTCCCGGGAGGGTGACAGGATTGGGTGCTGTGGGGTGCACTGGGGCAAAGCAGGGGCACCCCAACCCGGCTGCCCCTTGGCTGCGTGCTGGGTCAGGCCTGGCATGATCCAGCTGGGCCTGATCTGACTGTGTTTCCCTAACTTCTCTTGCCAGTGTGCCACGGCCCTGGGCATGTGCTGCTACATTGCTGCTGCTGACCTCGAGGTAACTGCGCCTGGGTGTCGTCTGTACCCCTGCAAGAGGGCACCCTGGGGCTGCCATGCCACCTGCCCTCAGCCCACAGTGCTAGAGCAGCCTGGAGCTGAGCTGGAGTAGGGGTACGGGGACATGAGTGACAGCCCAGCCCCCTTCCCTGGGCAGCCTGGAGCTGAGCTGAGGGGAGCCAGCAGATGGGGTGCTGTGGGTGGAGTAGCCTCCCCTGTCCCAAGGGGCTCCTGGCACCCCTTGGTATGGTGGGTCCCCTTTGGTCCCCAGTGCACAGCTCAGTGTGGCATTTCCATGGCAGCTGTGGTCTGACTGGCACAGTTTCTCTCCTCCAGGACCTGGTATCATGCCTATCCTGCTTGGAGGGCGTCTTCAGCCCCCCCAGCACAGGCGAAGGGGGCTCAGCACCTGCCCAGCATGGGCCTCTGCACTGCAGTGCGCTCCAGTCATGGTCCCTGCTCCTCACCATCTGCCCCCCCTCCCACCTCAGGAGCATTTTGGACAAGTGAGTGGGGTGTGAAGTGAGTGGAGGCTGGTATGGGGCAGCCAGCTGTGGAGCACAGAGCCCTTGGGGCAGTGCTTGGCCCTTGTGATGCCCTCTTGCCTCTCTGTCTCAGTCGCTGGCTGCAGCTGCCCGCACTGCTGACCAGCAGCAGCGTTGCCCTGCGCATCCTGGCCGGGGAAACCATTGCGCTGCTCTTCGAGCTGGCCCAGGACCTGGAGGTAAGGCATGGGCTGTGGCAATGGGAGCAGTGGGTGGGCACTAAGCAGGCAGCAGGGAGGGAGCTGCTGTGACACCCTGACATGCCCCAGCTGAGCTGGCATTGACCAGCAGGCACCCAGGCAGAGGGGCTGGCCCCAGTGATCCCCCAGCCCTGTCCTGGCCATGGCAGTGGGCAGTGCCTGGAGCTCATCCCTCTAAATCCCCTGCTTTTTGCCAGGAGGACTTGTGCCACCAAGATACAGAGTTCCTGTGTACCCAGCTCAAAGTCCTGGCTACTGAGAGCAACAAGTACCGAGCCAAGACAGACCGACGGAGGCAGCGATCCATCTTCCGGGACATCCTGCGCTTCATCGAGGTACCGGAGCCTGGTGCTGCCCTGCTCTGCCCCCGTGTGCCTGCTTCCCAGCTGCCTGATGATTCCTCTCTGGAGAGCCAGGGGACACACAGGGCTGGTGCCCAGGTTATTGCTGATGTCCCTCTCTCTGCTCAGACTGGAGAGTACCAGGAGGAGACCGTCCGATTTGGCCTGGAGTGCATGTACCTGGACAGCTGGGCACGCCAGCGCACCTACCAAGCCTTTAAGGAGGTGCTGGGCTCCGGCATCCATCACCACCTCCAGGTATGGGCTGGGCAGATGCACCAGGGAGTGCTGGGCTGGTGCTGGTGGGCATTGACAGACCCCTGCTTTCACAGAACAATGAGCTGCTACGGGAGATCTTTGGCCTCGGGCCCCCCTTGGTGCTGGATGCGGCTGCTCTGAAAGCCAGCAAGGTCTCCCGCTTCGAGAAGGTGGGTGCCGCCTCCCACATTTGTGCCCACAGTCCCCTCCTCTGCCACCAGGGGCTCCAGCTGAGTGTGGTGGGTGCTGCTGGGGAGGTGGGCAGAGGGGCATCCCCAACCCTAATCTCTCCTTCCTTCTCCTTGCAGCACCTCTACAACTCAGCTGCCTTCAAAGCGCGCACCAAAGCGCGGAGCCGCGTGCGGGACAAGCGGGCGGATGTGCTGTGATGGGCACAGGGGGCAGAGCCCCCAGCCGACCCAGACTGCAGACCCAGCACTGTGAGGGGCAGGTGCCCCCAGCCCTCGGGCTTTTATTCATGTACAGCAGAGTATTTAATGCCTGGAGCTGCCCCAAGGGGGGGCTGCCCCCTCTTTTATTTTTTTAACCAAAAAATAGGAAGGATAAAAGAAGAGCAGGGGGAGGTGGTGGCGTGCTGCCGTGTGCCTGCTCTGTGGCTGGGGATCCATGTGGCACAGTGGGAGGGTGTCTCACCCAGGCTCCTGCAGCCACTTTCAGTGGCAGGGCTTGTGTTTACCCTCCCTAGTCCTGCAGGGGCACCAGGGTGGCCTGGCGCAGCCTGAAGAGTGGGTGGGAGGGCAGAGCTGTGCAGGGCTGCAGAGCAGCTGGTCCTGGTGTCTGTGCCTCTGGCAGGAGCGTTCTCCCCACCCTTCCATGCTGGGTACAGCCCCTGCCTCCCCAGCCAGCCTGGCATCAGTGATGGTGGCAGAGCAATGTGGAGTGGGAAGCTCTGCCCAGTCCTGCCAGCTGCCTGCCTACTCTCAATCCTTTTCCAGCCAAATGCTTTATATGAAATAGTAATCTTGTGGGAAATTAATTACGGGGGGGGCCACTGCCCAGGCGGGCATAGGGCCATGCCAGTTGGCAGTGCCTGCCACCCTGGGAATGTATCTATCATGGTGATTTTCTAAGACTTTGATTGTAAGAGGTAATTAAAAGGCTAAATAAAGTATGCCTTCTGCCTTGTTAAGAGGAAGGGCTGTCACTGGGGTGGATGCAGATCCTTACACCCCAGTTTCTTTCTCTCACAGCCTGGGACAGGGTCTGGGATTGCCCCTGTGCCCCAAGGGGCAATGCTGCCAGGTCTCAGTGGGTAAGGCTGCCCGCTCCCCCCTCCTGCCCTTCGGTGCCCCTTCCTGTGGCGGCCCAGAGCCCATGGTGGGGCCAGGGGCAGCTCAGCGGTGCCCGCCCGGCTGGGCACTGGCGTTGAGGCGAGCCCAGAGCTGCCTGCTGGCTGCCCGCAGCTGGTGCACGGCGTCCTCCTGGCTCTGCAGCCACTGGGCCAGCGCCCGCACCGACTGGCTCTGCAGGACTGCGGGGACAGGACGGGAACGAGCTGAGCGGGGGCAGTTTGGTCCCCCAGAGTTCCCCATCTCCCCACCCTGCCAGTGCCACGTACCACTCAGGTAGATGGCCAGGGTGGCCAGGACCAGGCTCGACAGTGCCAGGAGCGCCAGCAGGGCCAGCAGCAGGGGGTGGCCAGGGCCGAGGCAGGGGCAGGGGCTGGCGGGAGGCACGGGGCGCAGGGTGGGCAGGAGTGGCGGGGGCACGGGGGACACGGGCCGAGCTGAGGGCCGGTGCAGGCTGCTGGAGGGAGCTGGGCCATTGCCTGCAGGCAGGGGAGAGAAGGTGTCAGAGCCTGGCCACGGGCACAGCCGGGCCTTGCACAGCCCCCCTGCCCCCTCTCACCCTCTGTGCCCTTGTGCCCGCCCGAGGCCCAGTACAGGTCGCTGATGGACTCCACAGGGCGCAGGCTGATGGCTCCGGACTCACTGCTGTCAGGGTCCCCAGGCTCTGCTGGTGCAGCACCCTCGGCCCTTCCCATGCTGTCTGCTGGAACAGAGGCAAAGGGTCAGCCTGTGGCCTGCCCTGGGCACCTCAGTGGGACCAGAGCCCTGCCGGGGGGATCTCAGCCACGGCAGCCCAGTGCTGCACAGGGCAGGCAGCCAAGGCTGATGCTCCCTTGGCCCAGCCCTGCAGCCACAGTGGGCAAGCACTTGCTCTACCCCCCGGCCCCACCGCTGTCATCGCAGCAGTTAGCGGGTGCCTGGCGGCCACGATCCCGGAGCCTTGTTAGTGGGGCTGGAATCTGGCCCTGGCTTGGGGGCAGGAATGTGCCACCCCCCAGCCAGGATAGCCCTGTGGGACTGGCTGGGGCTCCAAGGGCCAGCTGGAAGCTGGTGGGCAGGTGCAGGGCAGTGCCAGTCTGCCATGTGGCCTGGCTTGCCCGCAGGTACTGTGCTGCTTGGGGGTGCACAGATGGAGATGTGGGGTGTATGCTGTGCCACGGGGCCCTGGTGCCTATTGTGCTAGTGAGCACGTCACATGGGACTGAGAGAGCTTTTTGGAAGTAGGCATTCCTCCAGCACTGTTTTGGGAAGCAACCATGCCTGCATTGGGGTAGATGGAAAAGATTATTTTCTAGGTGTTTGTGTATTTTTGAGCAGTGGGCAGGGCCCACGCACTGTGCCCTTGGCAGAGCATGGCAGGCTGGCAGTGTGCCCACTCCCAATCCCTCCCGGGGTCAGTGGCGTGTCGCAGGGCAGCGTGGCGCCGTGCTGCTGCTGTCCAGACTGTGTGTCACCCACAGGGCTGGCAGGCATCAGGGCTAGGGGGCCTCAGCCGGTACCCAGGGCCCCCTCAGACCCTCCCCACAGCCCTACCCTTGGCCAGGGACTGCTCCACAGATACCCAGATCACCCCTGCACCCACTTGCCCCAGGTAGGGGGGCACAGCTGGTCACGTAGGTTTGCTGCAGGGGGCTGTGTGTGCCAGCTGCCTGTACCCTCCCCAAACCCTGCTGCCCTACACCTGCAGCCCTCCAGGACCCCCTTCTTCCCTGGGCAGGCATCTCTGCCCACAGCCCCCATGGCAGAGGGCACCATCTGTCCACTGCTCCCATGCCAACCCCACAGCCTTGCATCACCCAGTATCCCCTGGGGTGCTAGAGCCCCTGCCAGCCCCAAGCCCACTCCCCAGAGTACCTTCTGCAGCCTCCCTGGGCATGGCTCCCTGTGCCTGGGCAGCGTGAGCGGGCAGTGAGGTGGTGCAGGGCCCCCAGGAGCTGGGCACTGGGCTCCTGGTGCGCCAACTGCACCGCTTAAAATAGGACAGTGAGAAACACGGTTGGGGGGCGATAAAAATAGCTGTGGGGAGGGGGGCCTGGTGGCGTGGACAGGGCTGCTAGCAGCACAGTTCCAGTGGCAAAGGGACAACAGGTTGTGGCAGTGCCCCGTGCCCCCTTTCCCAGGGTAAAGCAGCTGCCAGCTCACAGGATCAGGGCAGAGCCCATTCAGGAAAACTGATGCACTGCTGGACCCATCCAGAGCCAAACTGGGTCTGTGCTGCCTCTCAGCAGCAATGGCAACTGAGCCCAGCATGGGAACACCACAGAGTCCCCCAGCTTTGCCCACAAAGACCATGCCAGCTGTGCCAGGAGAATTTATTTAGGTTAATGAGACCATAGGAAGTGCCAGCAGCAGCACTGCTGGGGTAGGAGACCGTCACCAGCCCCATGTGCCCTGTGGCAGGCAGGTGTCAGAGGATGTGAGATCCTTGTGCCCATAGAGGCTGTGAGCGTGGGCCTGGCAGGAGGTGGCAGGGCTGAGCCATACCCGCTGGGCACAGCCCTCCCCTGCCCAGCCACGGTAGCAGTGGCAGCGGAAAGCAGCCCAAGGGCTGGCACCGGGGCCGAGGTGCAGGAGGCTGCCCAGCTCGTGGGGCTGCCGGCGCACACAGCGCCCGTGCCCATGGCACTGCCCATAGCTGCATTCTCGGGCTGCCGCTGTAACGTTGGCCACGTAAGGACCCAGGGTGGACATGAGGTAGTGGCGCAGGTTGGCACAGCTTTCCTGGGGAGGAAGGACCAGTGAGAACCTGCCCCAGCGATAGAGACCCGGCCAGCCCTCCCTGGTGGGCACGGGGGATGTGACCACCCCATATATCCCATGCCATCTCCTGCTGCCCACAGCCTCCAGTGATGCAGGGACCATACTCACAGCCGAGCGGGAGTACGACAGGTCTCCCCAGAGCACGAGTCCAGCCGCTCCCAGCGCTGCGCTCTCCCCAATGGTGTGCACCAGGTCAGCCTGCCAGAAACACAGAGGTGACCCGTCTGGGGGACACAGCCTGTGTCCCTGTGTCACACCCGCAGCCAGCTCCAGCCCCACAGTGCTCACCAGCTGCAGGAAGCGCGAGGAGCGGCGGAAGGAGAGGCGGGAATAGGCGATCACGGGCAGGAGGCCGTGGGTGCTGAGGGCGGCCACGCGCAGGGCCTCGCGCAGCCGGTGGTGCACGAAGCGGCGGCGCAGCGCGGGCGGCAGCGCCAGCGGCAGGTAGATGCTGGGGTACAGGGCAGAAGAGGCGGCCCAGAGCCAGCCCAGACGGTTGTTCCGCTGCACCTCCGCCGGCTGGCACTGCCCAGTGTAGTTTGCCTCCTTGGCCCAGTTGCTGTTGAGGCAGTCGGGAAAGCGGTAGAAACCCCAGAGCCCCCCAGGGCGCAGGGCTCGCCCCACCAGAAGCGTCTCCTCCATCAGAGCCTGTGCCGCCTGCTCGAACTCCAGCTGGGCCAGCCGGAGCTGCTGCCGTGCTGGCAGGATGCCATGCTGCTCCCGCACCCACTCCTCGGAGGCTGTCCGGTACATCCTTTTGGCTCCCCAGTTCTGGGCCCACAGGGGCCTCCACTCCTCCCAGTCCACCACGGCCAAGCCATGGAAAGCAGGTCGCAGGAGGAGGCGGATGTCCTTGACCACCCTGTTGATGTGGGCGTCGAGGGAGACACGCTGGGGGAGGCCCCCATTATGGGGGACACCGTGCTGGGACAGGTAGGGGTACAGCCCAAACTTGTTCTTGTAGAAGATGGTGATGTTCTGGCCGGCAAAGTGGCCACCCTGGTTCTCCACGATGCCGTAGTCGCCGAGGGGCAGCCCTATGCCAAAGCGGTGCTGGCAGCGCTCGGTGGGGACGTTCCACACCACGGCAAAGGGCTGCCCGCCTGCCAGGGGCTCGGGTGCTGGGCTCTCCTCACTGGCTGTGCCCAGTGCCAGGCAGGCCCACAGTGCCAGCACCAGCACCATCCCGCCTCACCAGCTGCCTGCGGGGCCAGCACCCTGTGAGGAAAGGAGAGCTGTGGGGATGAGGCTGTGGGACGCAGTGGGCATTCCAGCAATGCAGGCACTGCCTCCTGGCACATGGTGGACTAGGAGCTGTCCTGCAAGCACATGCTGCCCACCCCAAAACCTGACAGGACTGGGTACACTTGGGGGTTTGAGATCACTCCTGCCTCAGCACTGCCAGTGTTACCTCTGCCTGCTGCTCTCCCTCTAGTGCTGGGATCCTGCTTGCACAGCACAGCCATGGCACAGCTCTGGAGTGGCACTGCAAGCCACTGACCCTTGTGCCTCAATTTCCTGCTGGCTCCCAGTCCTGCCTGTAGTGGAAGCACCAAGACTCCCTGGTCCCCATTTCGGCACAGTGCTGAGCCGGGCTGGGTGACCTGCTGAAGGACTGAGTCCCCCCAAGAGGCATGCTGGGACCAAAGGGACAGCTCTGTCCCTCACAGCCCAGGCAGGGCCAGAGGGGTCTGGTGCCCCTGCCCAGCACTGGCCAGCTGCCCAGAATGAGGGGATTAGGCAGGGAATGGGCCCAGGGCCGCGTGACACAGCAAGGACAGCGCTAATCCCTCACTGCCAGGCCGGACGCTCTCTCTGACCTTCCCGCTCCCATGCCTCTGGCCCTCACTGACACCAGCTGCCTTAGGGGGGTTTGGCCACCCGCCTCCCTCACTGTGCAGTGCAGGGGACCCGATTCTGCAGTCCCAGCACTATGACCTACTCCCACAGTGCCCCCCACAGCCATCCTATGCCTCAGTTTCCCCAGACTGCTCAGTGAGGACAGCTGTGGCCATGCTGGAGGCCACCACTTTCCGTCAGCCCCAGCTGCCCCACAGCAAATCCTGAGTGGAGGACACAACTGGTGGGACTGGGCAGTGCTCCTGGGGACTAGTGCCAACCCCACAGCCTGCAGTGGACCAGGCTCTCCACCATGCTGGTGGTCTCAGAGCCCCCGCTAGGCGAGCTGGGGGCCAGGTGGGAGCAGAGGCAGTGTGCCCAGGTAGGGCGGGGTACAGGAACTCTGCCCATTCCCTGCCCCCAGCAATGGGGCCAGGGTGAACCATGGAGGCTGGGGGAGCTGGTGCCAGCCCTGAAGAATGGCAGGCAGTCAGGCAGTGCTGCGGCGGGCAGCTCCCACCCGCACTGCTTTAATCACTGGCTCGGGGCCCTCAGATGTCCTTCTTCATCCAGAAGATGGGGAGCCCTTTGGCATCGCGGTGCGGGGACTGCAGGAGGCTCTGCTGCTCGCTGCCCTCAGCCAGGACACCCCTCGCCCAGATCACGGTCGGTGGGGGAGGCGGTGGGGGCACAGTGAGGGGTGGCGGGGGCGGCGGGGGGACAGCGGGTATCCGCGGCCTGGTGGCGGTGGCAGCGGCAGCCCCAGAAGGGGCGGAGAAGAGCCGCAGCACCTCAGAGGATATAGCCGGGCTGAGAAAGGCCACGCTCTGCACCGGCTCACCCAGGACATAGCCCAGGTGGGCATAGAAATGCTGCTTGTCGTGGGTGGTGAGGCGCAGGCAGCGAAAGCCCCGGGCCCGGGCCCACCGCTCAGCGGCCTCCATCAGCCGCCGCCCATAGCCCCGGCCCCGCAGCGCCCGCGCCACCACCACGCTCTCCACGAAGAGGTCATGGGGACGGCTGAGCACACGGGACAGTCGGACGTGGCCCACGAGCTCGCAGGGCCCCTGCCGGGGGCTGGCTGGGCTGTCGCTGGGGCCCCGGCTCCGCAGCAGCAGCAGGCAGGTGGGAAAGGCGTCCGAGGAGCGCTGCAGCGAGTGCAGCCGCGACGCACGGCTCTTCCCCCACTCCTCGCCCAGCAGCTCCGCACAGGCTTCCAGCAGCTCCGGCCTCTGGTGCAAGGGGACCAAGCTGAGCTCCTCTGACACAGAACCCATTCTTCTCACTGACGGGAAACCAAGCAGGTCACAGCTTAGAGGCAGTAAGGCACAGACCGTGCGTGTTCCCCCCAGCCCACCACTGGCCCCAGTACAGGCACGGTGCCCCAGTGGCTCAGCCAGATGAGTTCATGGAGGTTTGGCAGGTCCAAGGTCAAACAAGAGACTCATGGCAGGAAGGTGGCACATGGTGCCAGCTCCAGGAAATCATGCCATGAGACCTGCAGAAAGGTCTCGTACTGCCAAATCAGCTGAGGGGCAGGAGGCACAGTGCTTCCTCTCCAGCCCCTGCCACTAGCTCCTGCCACCTCAGCACCCATCAGACCAGCTAGCTCATCACACATGTCCCCAGAGTCAGGGTTCTGAGGAGCCCAAAAAGCCTCTGAGGGGTCAGAAAACCCCTATCCCACAGCATGCCGTGGGGTCCCCTCTCTCAGCCTGGCAGTTCCCCTTGCAAAGGAGAAGCTGCAGGCAGAGGGCAGGAGCAACCACCACACCAGTTGATTAACCAGAATTGAGCAAACTGCCCCACTTCCCCTCTGGGGGTTGGGGAGGGCCTGAGTCTGCCCTCCCACACCCTAGGTGCTCCTAGGAGGCATGGTGGGGTCACCCCTCTAGCTCCAAGCCTCCTGACCCACAGCCCAGTCTGCACTGTCCCCTTCAGAGGCCAGACCCCACTAGTACTCCTGAGGAGGCGATGGCTTTCTTCTGCCTGCCCAGCAAAGCCACTCCAGGACTCCAACAGCATCTGCCTGCCACCCACCTGCCCACACTCACCCTGCCTTCACCCACCCATCCAGTCTGCACTCACCCTGCCCACAGTCACCCTGCTCAGTCACTGCTCACACCCACCCTGCTCACACGTGTACCCTGCTCACGCTCACCCTGCTCACACTCACCCTGCCCGCTGCTGCTGGCTCCTTTGCCCCGGGTGCCAGCGCAGCAGGAAGCAGCCCAGGCTCATGACCAACCACAGCGCCTGGTTCTGCTTCCCCGGTGTGAATGACACGTCTGTCCGGGCCCCACACAGCACCCCCCACTTCCCACGCTGCACCCCCACACGGGGCACTCAGCCTGCCTGCACCCCGATTGCTCCAAACCACACGGCACTCGCACACAGACACTGGAACGGCATTGCCCAGCTGATCGCTGCTCCCACTGCATGGCTGCACCTCCTGAACACGGATCCCCACCCCACCGCTGACCCTCACCGACCAACACTGAGCCAACACTCAACTCTTTACTGACTGTTGTTTGACCTGCCATTGACCCCATCTCTGACCCCACTGCTCACCCATCACTGACCCCCCACCAACCTGTTATTGACCCTATCAGTGACCCCAGCATTGACCCATCACTGACCCCATAACTGATCCACCTCTGACCCCACCACTCACCCATCACAGACCCCAGCACTGACCCCACCACTGATCCATCACTGACCCCATCACCGACGCCTCCCACCAACCCGTCATTGACCCTATCAGTGACTTCAGCATTGACCCATCACTGACCCATCACTGGCCCATTCCTGGGGCACCGCCGAGCCCCGGTCCCTGCCCGTCTCCCCGCTCTGTGCCCTGCCCCAGCCCGGTCCCGCCCGTACCGTTCCTCGGCCCCGCCGCCGCCGTCACTTCCTGGGCCCGGCTGGGCCCGCCCGCGCTCTCTGGCGGCCGGAGGGCGCACGGTCCGTGCCCCGCGCTGCCCGCTCGGCTCCGGGCGCTCCCGCACTCCCGCACGGACACACCGACCCATCCCGGGCCGCCGCAGGACGGCGGAACACCCTACCCGGACCCGCCCAGCCCTCCGCGGGCACAGGGACACCAAGCCCCACTGGGCAAACGTGCGGTGCTGCAGTTCAGCTCCGCTCCCTTCTGGAGCCCGAGGCTGTTTTGGGATGTCCATCTTCACGCCCTCCCTCCTCCCCAAGGAGTGATACACTGCACGGGAGCTCTCCATCCGGCTCCTTCAAGTCGTGATGGGGCTTACAGAGGGCAGCATCAAGAAGATGATGAAGGAGGAGGTGCAGGACAGCTCCTTCACTTGCATGACCAGGCACAGACGAGGCCAAGGTGGGATTCCCAACCTGGCTCTGCCTTTTGGGCGCTGCAGTTTGGACCCTTCCTGTGTGTCCCTGTGCGTTCTAGCTTGCTCAGTTCCTAAGCAGAGCTCCCCTCCATGACCACAGCTGCCTTTCTGCCCCAGCTGCCTGGATGGATGGAGGGTGGGTTCTTTGTCCACCCAGCTCCTTCTGCACTGCCCCTGGCATGGGCTCCTGCAGCCTCAGAGCCTGAGCAGCAGCTCCACAGCGGCCTGGGGCCACCAAGACCAAAATTTCGTAGCCTTGACAGGCTTCCAGCCAGAGAGGGTGGCTCCTCTTGTCATGCCCTGGGATGCTGAGCCTGGGGGCAGCATCACTCCCCACTAGTGCATTCACTTGCCCAGGCTGGGACAGGCTCTCCCTAGGTCTGTTGCCTTGCAGAGACCAGTGCAGGGCATTCCCACTGTCCTTCCCTGACTCCCCCTGTGCCAAAGAGAAAAGAGATTGTTTGCACATAATAAAATTTCTGCACAAAAGTGTTTTTTAGCTCTTTAGAGCATCACCCATCCCAGACAGACAGACGCTACCCCAGCATGGCCAAGGACGGGTCATGGGAAGGGAGCAGAGGCCATGGCCGGCAGTGGAGGCTGGTTAAGGGTCCCTGAGGGGCAGAACGAGCTGATCATGGTTTCGGAAGCACCAACCCACTATCACTGTCACCACGGGGGCTGCCAGCTGCAGGACTGGGCCCGAAAGGCAATGGGGGCAGAGGATGCAGCGCTGGGGGCCCTGGGGCTCTGACAGCCGCTCCGGGGCAGCGGGTCCCCGGCACGAGTGGCCGATCCCGGGCGCAGGGACCCCCGGCACCGGCACCGGAGGGGCAGCGGCAGGGGCGTGGCCAAACAATGAGGGCGTGGTTATGGGCAGTGGGCGGGGCTGGTGCGTGACGTCACGCTCGAGTGACAGCGCGGCCGTCGGACCGGGGCAGGGCAGGGCGCGCTTCCGGGACCGGGAGGCGGTGCCGTGGGGCCAATGGGAGGCGGGATTCTGCCGGCCACAGCCAATAGGCGCTGTCGGGGGCGTGGCCTGAGCCCCGGTGGCGGCCGGGGGCGCCCACGTGCGGCGGCAGCATGGCGGCGGCGGCGGGCGGCAGGCGGGCCAAGGCCCCGCGCGGGGCGGCGGCGCGACGGCGGCCACGGCCGGCGGTAAGGACCGGGCTGGAGGGAGACAGGGAGGCGGGCGAGGAAGGGCTGCCTCGCCGGGGTCGCCGCCGTGGGGCTTTCGCTGCGCCCATCCCCATCCCCATTCCCGTCCCGTCGATCGCCCCATTTTGTTCCGCAGGCACCGGGCGCCGATGGGAGACCGCGGGCGACGGCCGGCCGGCCCGCCGACGAGGAAGTGTCCAGCGACTCCGAGACAGAGAGGTAAGGGCTGCGCCCGGGGAGTGCCGCTACCGCGGCGGGGCGCCGGTACCGGGGGATGCCTGTACCGGAGAGATCCCGGACCGGGGGATGCCTGTACCGGAGGGGTTGTCTGACCGGGGATCCCTGTAGAGGGGATGTCAGACCAGGGGATGCCTGTAACGGGGGCCGTGCCGGTACCTGCGGGGTGCCGGTACCGATGCTCACGCACACGTGTCCCCGCAGCCCGTTGTTGGGGCGGCGGCGGCGAGAGGCAGCGGAGGAGGAGGTGGAGGAGACGCCGCAGGAGAAGAAGCTGCGCTTGGCCAAGCAGTACCTGGAGGAGCTCCGGCAGCTCGGTGAGTCCCGCCCGGCGCCGGTGCCCCGCGGGGCGGCCCCGGGCGGTGAGCCCGACCCTCACGCACTGTCCCGCCGCAGAGGAGGAGCGGGCGGAGGACGAGGAGGAGCTCGAGCCGGCGGATCTCATCGGCGAGCGCCTGAAGGAGGACGTGGTGAGCGGGGAGGCGGGCGCGGCCTCTCGGTCCCCTTGGCGGCAGCGGGCTCTGTCCCATTCCTGCGGGACCGGGACTGAGGCCACCCCCTCTGCTGAACGTCCCCCTTCTTCCCCAGCTGGAGCAGAGAGGCCGGCTGCAGCGCCTGGTCGCCAAAGATGTGAGTGCCGGGGTGCCAAACTGCCAGTGCCAGCCTAGGGGATACTAAGGCACGGCCAGCACGCTACACTCCTTCTCCCTGGAGAAGTCAGGGTGCTGTGCTGGGGTGCTCCTGGGCCTGGGGAAGGGTCCTGGGCAGCCCAGCTCACATCCTGCTCTTCCTGCAGGTACAGCCTCCAGATCCAGCCAAGATCCGTGTGCTGCGGGGACACCAGCTGCCCGTTACCTGCCTCGTCATCTCTCCTGATGACAGATTCATTTTTTCTGCTTCCAAGGATGGCTCCCTCATCAAATGCAAGTGTTCACCTGAGGCTGTGACTGGCTGCTGCCAAGCCCAACCCCTGCAGGGACCCGGGTGCCCTCTGAGGTGGCTTGGCCCTTGGCTATTCTTAGATTGCGCATAATTCCAGGCTCTGTGGAAGGCTCATTGACACTTTAGGGAGTGGTGGGAGGCTCCCAGAGGCTGATTGTGACGATTTTTCTGCAGGGGAGGTGGACAGTGGGAAGAGGCTGTGCGTGGTGCCCGGGGGGAAGAAGGGCACGGAGGAGCGGCACATGGGGCACGCGTCCCAGGTCCTTTGCATGGCCATTTCATCGGACGGCAAGTACCTGGTATGGGCACAGGGGTGGAGAGATGGCCCTGGGGAGTGTTCTCCCTGGATCCTGGGGGTACAGCCTCATGCCCAGATGTGCCTTGCTGGGTTAAAGGAGCCCCTATCCCCTGCTGGGTCAGGAATGGGTCCCTGGGACAGCCAAAGCCCATGGAGTGGGAGTGGAGGCAGGGGTGGGCTGTGGGTCTCCAGGGGGCAGGTCTCAGGTGTCCCCTGCTGCCTGCCAGGCTACAGGAGACAGGAACAAGCTGATCATGATCTGGGATGCAGCCACTTGCAAGCGCCTGCACATCTTCACGGGGCACCGTGACGCCGTCTCGGTGAGCTGGGGGCGTTGGGCACAGTGCCTGTGGGGCCAGGCAATTGTGTCTTGCTGGGCATCCTCATTGCTGTGCCGTGTCTGTCCGTCTGTCCCAGGGCCTGTCCTTCCGAAAGGGCACACACCAGCTGTACAGCGCTTCCCACGACCGCTGCGTCAAGGTCTGGGACGTGGCTGAGAACGCATACGTGGAGACCCTGTAAGACCTGGGGAAATCTCACTGACCCCTCCAAGGGGTGCCCAGCAGCCCTGAGGAGTGAGGGGGCAGAGGGCCCTGTTTGCCACAGCTGTTTGTCATGTCCTTGTGCAGGTTTGGACACCAGGACATCATCACAGGGCTGGACAGCCTGAGCCGGGAGTGCTGTGTGACAGCGGGGGGACGGGACGGCACCGTGCGGCTCTGGAAAATCCCTGAGGAGTCACAGCTCGTCTTCTCTGGGCACCAGTAGGTCTGGGGTGGCAGAGGGGGCTGTGGGCAGGTGTGTCCAGCTGGGGCAGTGCTGTGTGGGTGCCAGGTGCCCTGCAGGATCCCAAAGCACACCTGTAACTGCTGACCGTGACCTGTTCTCTTCGCAGGGGCTCCATCGACTGTATCCAGCTCATCAACGAGGAGCACATGGTGTCTGGTGCAGATGATGGGTGAGCACAGGGCCAGGCTGATGCCTGGGGTGGGCAGGGTGCCCCCTCAGCCCCCTCATCCCTCACATCCCTGCAGGTCTTTAGCCCTGTGGGGGCTGACGAAGAAGAAGCCGCTGGCGCTGGCTCGGCAGGCGCACGGTGAGCAGGGCACTGAGGGCCTGCAGCAGCCCTGCTGGATCTCAGCCGTGGCTGCCCTGCGCAACAGTGACCTCCTGGCCACAGGTGTGTGGGGTGGCAGCCTGGGGGGGAAGCCAGTCCTGCTCCCATCCCTGGGCTGGGGTGCATCACAGGCTCCTCTCTGCGCCCCAGGGTCCCACAGCGGCAGCGTGAAGCTCTGGAAGTGTGGTGAAGGATTTCGGAAGCTGGAGCACCTCTTGGACATCCCCTTGGTATGGATGGATGGGCAGGCTGGGACTTCTGGAGCTGGGCTGGAGGGTCTCTCAGCAGGGACTGCCCTTCCTGGGCAGCAGGAGAAGCCTGTGGGAGCCCCTCACCCTGCCCTGTCCCCTCCAGGTGGGTTTTGTCAACAGCCTCAAGTTCTCAGCAGCTGGTGATTTCCTGGTGGCTGGCATCGGGCAGGAGCACCGGTACTGTCCCCCCTCCCTGGTGTAGCTGCCTGCAGGTGCAGCTTCCCTCTCCTCGGGGTCTTGTTGGAGGGTGACCCCCCCCCATCTCTCTCACCCACAGGCTGGGACGGTGGTGGAGAATCAAAGAAGCCAAAAACAGTATCTGCATCATCCCCCTGAAGCAGAAGACCACAGCTTCCAGCCCTGAATCCCCTAGCAGCTCCTAGCCCTCTGTCCCTGGAGCCACTGGAGCAGGTCATTCTGTCCCTGGAGCTGTGCCCCCCATCCTTGGTGCAGCCACC